CTTCGTGTAATGCATTAATATATATATTAAGAAAATAGCTTCATTTTTTGATTTACCTATATCTCCTCGCATTAGTTTAGTACAATGCCATCCGATCAGAAAAGGTCGAATATTTCCAGTGAAAAACTTCCGAGTGCAAAGGGTTATATTCCTTATGAAAAGGTATTCGAGTAGTTAGATGTAAAGTCGATTACTTTAGGAGTCGCAATTTCTTTGGCAAACGCCCATTTACTCGAAAGGCAGTGTCTCCGTGCAAAAAATAGCCGCCGGGACACGCGAGTGTCCGTGTTACTGCCAGTAGGCGCGGCTTCCACGCGCGTTCTCGAGCGATTGGGAAGCGTTCGCGCGTTAAGGAAGTTCTGAAAGCAAACAAAATCCCCGATCCGCTGCGGGCTCTCGTCATCCGATTTACTCGGCTGGACGTTTGTGCTTTCTAAACAAGGTACGGAAACGTAGTTATCTTAACCGTCGAACGGAAGACGGAAGAATGACGGCGTAATGTTGCTGGAGAAACGATACGCTGAGAATTACACTGAGAATTTGCTCGGCAAGTATGTTCCGCGATGCAGCGGAGCCCGGGTATCGAATTTTGTACGATTGAAGAAAGATGCTTCCAAAAATGTCGCTCAAAGGATGTCGTTCATGTCGGATGTCGATGGAATTCCTCGACGAATCGTGTAACGAACGTTGATAGATGAACGGTACGCTCAGGAAGCTCAACTTTCTGCATACAACTAGAAACAGCGGACCGTTCTAATCAGTTCGACGGTACATTATATAAAATCGGACGGGTTTCGTCGGTCTATGAATCCTCTTGCTACAGCGATGATGAATAATACAGCGTAGCCTGGCTTAGCGAAACCATTACGCCTCGGATTAGTGTCAGCTATCTTCATCGCGTGTTTTCTTATGCCTCTCGTGTCTCTGACTGCTCTCCCGAATCTCATCCCATCAGTATATCTAAAACGGTACCTTCGCCGGGCTCATACTTTAGCGATCCCGATTCCACCGCGCCGATACGTACGCCGATATGTCCCTCATATTCTATCTCCACCCGAGGAATGAAAGAGGAGCAAAACTTCTATACCACGGAGTCCCATAAAATGCTCCGAACAGTTACAAATGGACAAAGAATTCAATTAAATCACCGCCACCTTTACATTCCGATCACTTTATTCGTCTCATAAAACGCGCGAAGGCAGCGGTTTAACGATCGAACTCGAAATTTTGAATTCTCCTGCGCCCCCCGAAAGAATTCCGATAACGGAACTGTTATCCATTCGAATTCCTCGCAGTCACGGATCGAGACGTCGCCGATTCAATGCGCCGCTCGTCGCGCTGCGCGAATTATCGCAGAAATGAGCGATACGACACCGGCTCGACGGAACGTGCGGCAGGGAATGCGAGTAGACGGTGGGCCGACTCAATGATCCGCCATTTGATGGTCCATGATCCGTGCGAGACGCCGGGAGCTACGTGGCCACGGATCGGCGCACAGATTTTTATGATCCGGCATAGGAAACGATAAGGAAATTGCCATCGTGACGAAAGACGGCGGTTTTACGAGCGGCGGATCGTCAGGCTCGGTTTGATGCCAAACGCGCGCGGGCACGTGCACTGCACCGTAAATCACGGCTCGCCGGGTTTCGAAAGACGCCCGCTTGTCCGCGGGAGAACGCGCGCGGGAAAATCGCGCCACCGATTAATGAGGAAAGCGATTAGTGGCGAGCCACGCGCGCCTTTTTTCCCCGCTTGCCGACGCGGAACACGTTTCCATCGATCAAACCGAATTGATCGCTTCCCCGTAGACACTGTAATTTGGCTACAATGTTACCTTTCCTTCCGGAGAACTGTTGCGGCGAGAACTGCGAGCATCCAATACCGCGTGCGACCTGGCAGTAAGAGGCCGCAGGAAATGACCGACGCGCGATTAAAACTTTTACGGCTCAATAGAAGTTGATTGATCGACTAACGATATAATATACGGCAATTGGGACGTGGACGTTTATTTTCTGCCGCGTGTACTCCTCCTGTCAGCTGATCTCTGCTTTACATCATGAACGCGTCTCGCGGAAGACGCAGAGCCTACTAATCACTGTGATCGGACTGGTGTGAATTCGAATAGTATAAAGACGGTATTGACGTGTACGGTTCATTAACTTCAATTAAGTTAACGATAGATCAGCCCATTTGCACGGACTGTGGAATCCTTGGTAAATCGTCCGGGAGAAACGATCATTTTCTCCACGCTTGGCGCGGCTCGATCAGATGAAAGTGTATTTTATGACTCGTTACGGATATATTTTAGACACGCTGTATGCGCTATTTTATTCATAAGTTCGGGCTAATTTAACGCAAGGTATATGCGCCACTGCTTCAGTCTTTCTCCCGTTTCGTAAAAATTTAATCGGTTAAATATAATCGCATTCTACACGGCAATGCACTTACGAAGTAATTTCTCAATTGTTCATGAATGTGTTCGCACTAATTGAATAGGATCAAATAATATGCGATTAATGTACGACTATAGAAACGTTCTCTAAAAGCTCCATACTGTATACATATACATAGACAAAATATCGAGATGGAACCAGGTCGAAGATGTCCGACCGACTTACAAAGCAACGAATAATAACGTTCGTCGTTCGTTCGAATATTACGCAGTTTCCCGAATCATAATTCGACCTGTATCGATAGGTATTGAGACCGAGCATCGGTTAAGGAAAAGGAAATTTTCCATATATCAGAGAACGGCTCAGGCTGGAGTACAATCGGTGGCCCGGGAACCTCGCAGATGCCGAGCATGCAGTTTTATGTCCCGATCAGATGCAGCGTCGGTCCAAGGAGTTTGCATGTACGTCATTCCCGTTATTGAATTATTAATATGAAGTCGGACATCTGGTCGGGCCATATTTCGGTCGCGTTTCGCCGAGCGAACTCGCGCGGCTAATAAGATTTCCCCGTGGCGCGACCGGTGCCGACCGATCCGCTCACGGAAAGTCGATAGACCGTGGGAGCGAGAAAGAATTTCGGGAATCCCCGTCTAATCCCGTGAAACCGAGATTCACGGTGCTCCCGGGCCGCGACTCGAACGCATTAAACTTTTGATCGAATTTTGCGGCGTCGAAGACACGCGCAAGAATATTGGACACCTCCGATTACTTACGCTCGACGGCCACTCTCCCCCTTCGATCCGCCGCGTTTTGTCCGCCATCTTCGGGCGCCCGTGAATTTGTTCGGCTGCGATTCAACCTGTTTGTCGACTGCGCTCTGGAACGGCTCGCGATAAATCTAGCGATGCGAGAGATTAGAGATGCGAAATTCGAGCGGAGCCAGAACTCGTGTTACCGGATCGAGTTAAGGGTTCGATTGTTAACACAGCCTGCGCTGTTTGATACTTCGAGTTTCCGCTTACGCTCCGGCAGCTGATCAAACAGTCCAATTGTAATTGTTCGTCGATAGGATACCGCACGGCGCCGCGGCGTTCAGGTCTTTTCCTGGTGTCTTCTTTTTCCCTCGTTTCTCGCGGTCCGCGTTGTAGCGGACACACGGGGGGCCCGAGTTTTTAATTGAACCGGATCCGCTGAGTTACGGTCACCTTTTTAGGGGAATTTGTGGAATTTTGTTCGTTTTTCCAGGAGTTCGCTGCGAATGTACACTTAAATTTTTTACGAGTGTTTTCATGCACCTTCGATAATGTAAAAGCGTTTTTACGGCGGGTGCTTCAATCAATGATCGATCCTAAAATTCGCGAATATCGGGTCCGCTTCGCCGAGCACGCGTGCGCGCACGGCGGGTATGCGATATTTCTACGCTCGGTTTTTTTCTGTAACAACAAAAACGATTTTTTGGACTGTGAAGGGACAATATGAATTTTGGAGCACTACGCTGTACAGGGGAAGAATGTTTATTAACAGTGTAAATGGTGAAATTTATATATTGTTGAATGGCACGATCGAATATTTAGCAGCGAAACATCGCAGCAGAGGGAATTTACGGTATTTTCATAACTACTGAATGTTTGTCTGTAAATATTGCGTTATTACCAGACGGAAATAACAGTGTGACGCCATTGGAAATTGGTTGGTCTTTAATGCTATGTAGAGCGGAACGAATACAAGGAGACATTCTAAAAATGTTATTAACCATCTGAGATATGCGGAAATAGATTTACATGAATCAGTAAATCTTTGTAACAATCTATTGGGAGAGAATGCTAAACGATTACCGTTACCAACTGGCAACATGCAAATACTTTCTGCAGATGTAAACAGATTTCACCGTGGATAGCTTATTTATTTGTATATTTCATTTATTTAAAACTCTGTAGAAAGTTGTCCGACATCTTGATTTATTTCTCAAACACGCAGTAAATCAATGTCGAAATGTGTTGTGTCTATTGCATTGTTTTATTTCTCGAAATTATATAAAAAGCAGTCTGTCCTCATGGTACTGACATCTTACAAACAAACAGTGAATAAATATCCAACAATACTCTGTCTATAGAGGGAAAAGATTTTTTCAGCAGATACCAGACTATAACTCAAAAACAAGGTCATATCGACCTGCATATTTATATGAATCCCTTTCATCGCGTTTGTACACCGAATTCAGCCCCACAGTACGTCGCACAACGTAGTATGGAATAGTCAGTTAACGGTTGCAGCAGATTTCTTTCTGTCAAATTTCATACTACTCGATTCAAGATTCATAGACTAGTTTGTTCTGATCACATTCGAATGAATCATTTCATTTAACACTAGGTTCACGGACATTTACTGTACAGTTTGCTCTGTCGCTCTTGGAAACATTGATACATTGAACTTTCAAATTGGAGGTTTAAAAGTAGGCGTAATTGCATGAATCGAAATCGATCCAAACGTTTACCGTATAATGTTTATCAAATGCAATACCAGCCGAACTGACTCGTTCCGTAGATCTAATGTTAATTGATCTCTGTATCGAGTGAGGTCAACTGACATAGACGATTTTCTGATTAGGAAAGAAGTATATAGTAACACTGTGAAAATGTACTGCTCGACGCTGACACAGTATGAGGAGCAGAAGAAACCTGATCAAAATCTGGAGAAGGACGTGGTACCACTTCCGATAGGGAGGGAACAAACCCGAGTTAGCCAGCCGATAATATGGCGGAATGTGATTGCTATCGCAGTGCTTCATTTCCTGGCCGTCTACAGTTTCGTGACCCGTTATTCGGAAGGGACGCTGTGGATCTGGATATTTAGTAAGTGCACGTGAAATGTTTTTACTTTAATACTTGAAAGATTTTACTATCCGTTTTCCATTTACAAGCAAGGTGAATCCGTAACCTGGAAAACTCCGCTGAAAATAATATGAAATCGTTAAAGGGTGAATTTTCGTAAATGCTTTTGGTTTTTCGTAAATTTTTGACTTTTCAGCAGTTCCTTTATTCAACGTCTATAACAAATGAACAGCGAATATTTCTGTATTTTTGAAGCATGAGATAAAAGTTTGAATAGAATTCCATTCGTTTCCATAGTTTTTTTAGGCTGCCCAAAATATGAACATTCCATGATTTGAAAACTGAAATTTCATAGTTTTAGAAGTTAAATAAAAGAGGCGTAGATGTAGAAATTCGCGGTTTGCTAATGCTCTCTAAGAATACATTATCCTACTAATGGTGTATTTAAATTGTTATGTTGAACATCAAGCCTCGTGCGTGGGCACTAGTGTGTGCAACGCTGGAATGAAGAATTCAGCGCCGCGCGGCTAAAATAAACTGATCTTACAATGCTTTGCTCTCTCCGCGGAGCCGAGAGAAGTACACTTGAATTTCTGAGATATTTTTCAGCAATGTGGAAGCTCGGCGAAAAAATGACGTCCGTTTCAGAAATACCCGAGCTGCCGCGGATTCAGCTTGACCTGTTGAGGATCGGATCGTTGAGAATCTTTTTCACTGTTTTTATATCGAATCTTTTTACATGAAGCCATAGCGTACGGGCTCACCGCCGGTTTTGGAGTGACGGCAGGGATGCATCGATTGTGGGCACACAGAAGTTACTCGGCCAAGACACCACTGCGGATCGTTTTGGCATGTTTGTATTGCATGATGGGACAGGTTAGTATACAACAGAATCGGGCAAAATGTAATCTGATTAAAACTAATGATTAAAATATAACCTTCATTCGATTGCAAGTTGCAGTTTGCGATTACTAATTAGAGCCCGTCGTAACGAGTTCGTTTGCAATTGGAAATTGCTGATAATTACGAACTATAAAACACGATGTTTTATCGAAACAACGGTTAACGTTCGAATTATCCCCGGTCGTACGTAATCAAATTACATTTTGGTCGACTATGGTTTACGGTGTTTCTGAAGGAAGTTTCGTTTCGAGCGAAACGAAAGAATATTTGATTGAATCGTTGCGTTTCGTTCGATTAGACGCACTTCTACAAATGGTTACGGGACCACAGAACGCATCACAAGTATTCGGAAACGGCCGCGGATCCGCATGACGCGACACGAGGCTTCTTTTTCTCGCACATAGGCTGGCTAATGATGAAACGGCACCCGGCAGTCAAGGAATACGGCAGTAAAATCGACATGAGCGATATCCTCGCTGATCCAGTAATCACGTTCTTCGACAAGTAAGAGATTTTCCCTTTAACTACTTCACACTTTCATTCAGAAAGTTGAACGCACTGGCGGTTCGCGTCCGAGTGACTTTTTTATCATGCGGAATGAAAGGAAGAGAGTGCCTCGCGTAGATACGCAGTGGCTTAATAATTACTGATGTGTTTTTAGATAGCGTTACAATTAATCTTATTCACCGGCGCAACGTTAATGCCTAGTTCTGCTGATTCTAAGATAGAGGATACTTCATGCTACGGTGCTCGTGCATTTATTCGTGGAAACATTGTGTTCTTTCAGGGGATTCTAGCTATTTTTCTTTCCCTCCTTTTCATTAATTCAATGGGCTTAGAGAAGAGTTCGTGTATTATTAATGGCGGGCTGTAACGTACAAGATGTGGTTTTTGGTACGCTGAAATTTTGATTCACGTTGAATTCGGAATGTAATTCGTGCAACAAAACGTGCAAAACCATCGATTTAAATATATTTTCAGAAGTCGTACCATTTCGTACGGTTTCAACTATTATACACGCAGGATATTTATGTAATTTCGTTTCGTGTTGGATTCAAAATACAATTGATTCCAACGGACTGCAGGAAATATTCAGTTCGCCCCAACGAGAGAACACAAAGGGCTGGACTGTAAAGCGAGAGTATTAGTTGAGAACAACAAGTATTACGAGCACCATTAATTTGGAAACCATGTTCAAATTAGTAGAACGCCGTTGTGTAGTACTTGATCTACTAGGAATTCTCAATTTTGATCCGCTTAATATCAATTAAAATAAATAAATGTAATTTGAATTTTCTTGCTTTCAATACTACTTGTTAGAGTAGTTTAATAAAGAAAAGACTGCAAACAGTGTTGTCAGAAAAAACTATATACACGAGATTCGAGATATTAGCCATTAAGCTTATATCCACAAAGTCCATTGCAGCAACTCGTAACCTACCTTCCAAGAGCTCAATAATGAAATATTAAAATGGAAAAAGATTTTTGTTCTCTCTAAACAGCTACCACAAGTTTTACCCTTAGAACTCGAATGTCTTTTCGCTAGAAACATTCAACATTTTCTGATCAGACACAGACGACATCTCTTGAAGCTAAGCTAACAAAAAATTACACATACATTAAGGAACAAAGATACTTTATACAGATTTCATTATTACGTATAAAGCTTTATAATTTTATTGTATCAAACAAAATGGCGACTGAGGGTTGTTTCTCAATGACAAAGGGTTAATACATTACACAAAATTGAATACTAAACGTAAAACATCGGAATTCCTATGTAATGAAATAAACAACGACTAAGGGTTGTTTCTCAATGACAAAGGGTTAATAAATTATACAAAATTGAATGCTGAATGCCAAACCTCAGAATTCATATGCGATGAAGTAAACGACAACAAAGGCTCGCGTTCAGATCGTAAAGAGTAAATACGTTACACAAAATTGAATGCTAAACGTGAAACTTCAGAATTCTTATGTAATGAAATAAACGACGACAGAGGCTCGCCCCTCGAGTGTAAAGGGTTAAGCTCAGATGTCCCGAAGGTGGAACACTACCAACCGAAATGTTCGCAGGTACTACGAGATAATAATGATCTGGCTGGCTTTCGTCTTCCCGACGCTGCTCCCGGTGTACCTCTGGGGCGAGACGTGGTACGTAAGCTTCCACGCGACAGTGATCCGCTACGTCTTTTCGCTGCACGCCACGTTCGCCGTCAACAGTTTCGCTCACATGTGGGGGAACCGGCCGTACAACAGGCGAGTACCGTCGCGGCGGTGAAGCGCGTGCCGTTTCTGGCTAGCCGACCGTGACCGAAGTTAATTAAAACTTTCGATGCTCGCTCGTTTTCCGTGACCGGCTTACTTCTAACAACACGCGTTTTTCTATTCTGTTCCGGCCACAGGAAGGTCAAGCCCACGGAAAACGCGGTGGTGTCCTTCTTCGCGCACGGCGAGGGCTGGCACAATTATCATCATTCGTTCCCGTGGGACTACAAGGCGGCGGAGTTAGGCTCGTCCTGGCTGAACACCACCACAGGCTTCATCGAATTAATGGAGCGCGTAGGACTCGCGTACGATCTGAAGACGCCGAGCAAAGAGCTCGTCGAGCGGACCGCGCAGAAAAAAGGCGACGGGACCGACAGCCTTTGGGGCCATCGCAGGCACTGAAAACGCCCGTGCGAGATTTACGCTCGGACATACCGATCCGCACTATTTTTCCTTGTCCCTGTGTACACCGGTACGACGGTCGGATGTGTTCTAGGCAACAGTTCAATCTTACGTTTTTTATTATCCAGACCTCTGGGCATTATTCGAATTGTTTGGAATGGATTCTTAACGTTAGGCGGAATAGACGAATGAACCCTTGTTATCGGAACGCTTCGCTCGGACGATGATTGCTCGCTATTTGAATGGCAAATTCGAGTGGCTTGTTTATTTGGGCAATTTGTCTTTGTTTGTTTGAATTTGCCGATCAGTTCCGACGGACATGTACACACAGTGTAAGTACCTCGAGTAACGAACGAATATTTGTTCGAATAGATTTTTATTGTATCGACCAATACCCTTGTTCTTTCTCTGTATATTTCAATAGAATTTTGTTTATCACTGTTATCCTTCGTGTCGCGCGGCGAGTTTCACGTTTGCTTCACGAATGTAGTTTATAAGTTTATTTTATATAATAAATGTTCTTTAGAGTAGCGAGCAGCATCTAATTTGTCACTCACGGAACCTTAGAATTAAGAAACAGCTCCGCTGAATACCAAGGTAACGCGAGGAACAATTCCGGCGATCGAATCGTTACTCACTGGAACCGGGGAATATTTCCGCAGGCTCCCGTTTCCGCGGACTGATCCCCGCGGGAAGAAAAATTCAACGGACATTCGATTCTTCGGTGAAGGGTGTAATTGAGTCGGTAAAATCCGCGGCGGAGCAATTATGAAAAAAGACGGGAGGGGAAACTGCCGATACTAGCTCGAGGAGTAACGATTGTCCATGCTTCATCGGTAGAAAACCGATAAAAAGGTAATTAACTTATCACGGGAAGCTGTTGGAAGTTAAATTATATTTCGCCCGGCCGACCCGTAAAAACGGAGTCGATTCAATAACTCGTATTTCATTTGTACCCTTCCCCTTTCCGCCCCTTCGCGTCTGTGCGCCGTACATATGCATATATAGTCCCGTTTAACGTCCTGTCCGTTTAACCTAAATGCGGCTGGGATTCGAATATGGCGGATCGGATCCCGCGGAAAGGTTCACGGGGACGATTTTTAGCCCGTCGATCGTTTAATCCGCCGGCGATTATCGTCGGAGGGTCGGAACGACGACCGCGTTCTAAATAATTTAGACCCGTTTCCGCGCGGTTTGGCTCGGTTCTCGCGACGGCCTATCTTGCCGTGAATTTTCATCGGCGAATCGTTATTGCCTCCCTTCCTAATTATCGTCGGCCGCGTATCGCGCACTACCT